TAGGATATGATTTTTTTTTATTTTGGTGCAATGTGCTAATCACCACGTGTTGTTATGGAAAAAAGTTCATTTAATATCCTTGGAGAGGTAGGGTAGCTCCTTGTGAGCAATTTTCGGAGCAGTGTAAGCAATGTTTTTCTAAATGGTATACGGTCTTTACACGGTCGTCCTTCGTTTAGCGTTTAGGTTGTTTACACGGTGTTTAAACGAAGTTAAACGGTCTAAACAGTTTTGTATTTTTTTTAAAAATACATATAATTATATATGTACATGTAAAAAATCAAGTATTCTATTATTTATACATATTTATTAGAGTAAAAATTAATTATTTTAGTATGCATATATATTATCGCTGGGCGCTGGCTATACACAGCTAGAATACCGTTTATTTTGGGCGATATCACTCCGTATGGCCAGCGCCCAGCGATATCTCTGTCCTACATATGGTTGGAACTTTGTTCCACTAAAACGGTTGCATATCTTCATTGGCGTCATCGTTTACGAACCTATAAGACAAGACAATATTCACTGCAAGAGATGGGGGAGCCGCTCCACGATGGTTTACGTATCTTGCCGATTTGCTGCCTTGATGCAGACAGGCGTGCGCAAATACAAATCTTCGGTTCATATCCACTTCATGACTTCATCATCATACATAAATATCAAAGAATCAATAATGAATCAAATTGCACTTTGACAGCCGATGTGATAATCTCGCAGTTTTGTGGATGCTTTGAATTGTTTGCAAAAACTAGTACTACTTTCGGTCAAATAAACATGTTACTTTCGGTCAAACAAACATGTTGTTTCTGATAAAATTTAGTCAAACGTTAAAAACTACGAATATCCATGTTTTAAATTATTTTGTTTGAAAACAAGTGAGGTACATTAAAAGCTACCAATATCTATTTAAGGTTTGTTTAAATTATTTTGTTTGAAAACACTTGAAGTATATCTATATATGTGTAATCAACTCCATGTTTCAAATCGTAAGTTGTTCTGCATTTTCTAGGTACATAACTTTTGATATGAACCTGAATATGCGTTGTGTTAGATGCATAGTATATCTTCTACAACTAAAAAGAATAAAATATGGACATCGTTTTGGTGCGACAATTGTCTTGGTTCATGCGTCTGCCACCCATGCGATTGTCCGTACCGCGGGATCCTCCGTCGTCGCATGCAAAACCTGCGCCCTGGGCAACAGCCGCATGCAAATTCACGCGAAATCAGCACCGCTCCCAAATTTGACACATGCAAAATCAACGCACTCACAAATTGGCGTGCCCTTCCATTTTTTTTTTCTTTCAGCACCTCTCTGACGCCCACCCCTGCGACACCTACGCCGTCCCGGGCGCGACATCATCGCAGCCATCACGCACGGCGCCCGACTCCTCCGCCTCCGCCGCGCTGGACAGGGGCGCGACGACATCGAACCCGCACGGCTTCGACACATAATGAGCCACAATCACCGGCCGAGACACGCGCCGAGGACACTGCCTCCGACGCCGAGAAAAACACGCCGAGGACCCGGCCTCCGCCGCCGCCGCAATCACGCCACACAGATCGCCTCCGACGCCGCCAACGAGGCCGGTTTCACCGGCCGAGCCACAACGCGCCGCCGCGCCGATAGCAGCTAAGGGCCGCCCACAGCTACCGCCGCGCCACGCTAATCGAAGGACACGACCCCCGTGCAACAGCGATCGTGGCGCCCTAATCACTTGCTCGGCGGCTGCAACTAGATCCTGGTCGTGGCATCTTCACGGCGGACACGAGCGAACATAGCCTCCGCCGAGGCGGCCAGGGCGATCTCCATCACCGTCTTCATCACCACGTGAAGACACGACACGTCTAGGAGATCGCCCATTGGAGACGCTGCCGTCGATCTCACCAGACCAGGGCTATCTCTATCGCCATCTTCATCACCACGTGATGCGACCACAAGCCCACGTCCAAAGTTCGCGGGTTGGAGGCTCTTCCAGGCACCGCGGAGGAGGTCACGCCAGTTAGAAGACTTGCAGGTTAGCATGCTTTTGTGCTTTCTGATTGGCCCAAAACTATTGATTCAATGTTCGTTCATACCATCTTTATTTTATCTAGGAATGAGTCAATCCCAGATAGCATCTGACAGCTGCAAGTTCAGCACTTGCAAAGCATCTTTATTTTAAGCACGGGAATGGTAACACACATGTCAAGCAGGGTCGTCCAAGATACCAGGCCAGCCACTGACGACCTCTGAACCGCATGTCAGGGTCGACAATGGCCTACAAGACCATGCTGTTCCTGTTCTCACCGTCTAGCCAGACATTGCTGTTGGGCTGAGCTGAAGAGCACATGAGGACGTGTGTTGTGTCTATAGCGCCATAGCAGTTAGGGAGACCCTGGATCTTCTCAAATTTTGCTTTGATGACTGCCATCTCCTCAGGGTCAGGCCACTTCAGATGACTAGTGGCGCGCTCCTCCAAACACTCAATGAACTTCTAAGTGAATAAGTGATGTTTGAGATGGCTGAGTGGTTCACGTTCATCCCAAAGCGTGTTCCTATACCCAGAAGTGACTCACCAGTGGTCAGTCTTAGCAGAAAAATGGCGACTTGATCCTCCGCACCTAGAATCACCTTGTCCTCAAACCTGAAATTTTAATATGAAAATGATTGATATGTTCCAGGGCAGCGAGACGGTGTATTACAGTTTTGACTCTGCGGTAGATGATCCACATAACTACTATCCATCGGAGTTCCTTAACAGTTTGACCCCCAACGGGCTGCCTCCACACGTCTTGAAGCTCAAGCTCGGGTGTCTTGTCATATTGCTTAGGAATATTGACCCTGCCAATGGACTTTCCCCACTTTTCTCATGTGCCAATGTGGGATCAACCGAATTAGCACCTGCATAATTACAAACATAAATTACTTGAATAAAACCAACGAAGTAAGTTAGCGATAATAGTGAACAATAGTGATAAACAACACCATACCAGTGGTCGTGGGATGGCACGATCGTAGTGGCGTTGGTTCCGCGCATTCACGAGGATAGTTCCTTTGTATTTTTCATTGTTGCACCAGGGTCATTAGTTTGTGAGCACGAAAGAAATGGATATCGGAGATTTCTTCCTGCCAATATAAAATATTATCTTAGCCGCATCACGGAAAGATCTATAAAGTAGAGTTTATGAGCCTGCGACGCCGCGCACTCCGTGACTGTGTTAAATTCATAAACTTTGCTTTTTGGATTAAATGTCACTTTAACGTTGATATTTAATTTTTACAGTATTGTTATCTTATCGTGCAATCCGTGTGTTTTTATTACAAAATTTTAGCTATCTCATAGCAACGCGCGGGCACGCTACCTAGTATATGTATAAGGGCGAAGCCAGTTTTAAGTTTTCCGGTGCCATGGCACCATGGTAAAAAAAAATGCTTTTTACCACTTTATAATCTAATTTTCACTGTATATTATGATAATATTGTATATGTTACTTAGATAGTACACTAGGGGGTTCGCTTGTAGCTTGGCCCCTGACTGTGGTAAAAAACCAAAACGACTTACAAACACTTAAGACTTAAAAATTACCACAATAGTGAGAGAAAATAAAAATGAAAATGTCCCAACCTGTCACTATCATTACGTAAACTAGCACTGCGGGCTTGGTTGGTTTGCGGCTGTTTGCCAAGCGTCCACATATACCTGCTAAAAAATGACAAGTTCTTTCACGTATAAGGCAAGTACATGCTCTATAATTTGTTTAACTTCGCCATTGACGGCGGCCCGCATGCGGTCTCTTATGGACACAACTGAGTGTCAAGCCAGATGGATTAATCTGCAGTCGCCATCGAGAGAAATTCCAAGGGGATAATCTGCGGTCGCCATCAGGACAACAGTTGTAGGCAAAATTGCAACATTCAGGATCAGTGTAAGCCAGCAATGCCATGGCATCAAATTCAAATCGAATTGCTCAACCTCCCAAGAACCCAGGCCTATTTCTGTGATCGAGTTGTATACAAACCAACAAATAATCTCCAATTACATCAACGAATGGAGCAACGTTCACACTGACAAGCAGCACCGGCGCTATGCAAACCCGGCCGCCGCCCTGCAAATCACCGGCGTTGTGCAAACCGGCGAATGCCATGGTGAAGCTACGGTGGAAGTAGGCGTACGTCTAGCTCCAGCGCTATGCGGAGCGTCGGCATAGCGTGGGCGGCCAGCCTGTCCTTATCAGTTAGTTCAGGCTATACAAAAACGACAATGCACATGTCGCCACCAATCTTGTTTTGCTTGGCTTTGTCCACTGCAGTTCTTCGGTATATAAGCTCTGCTAGCAGAAGCAAAACATGCATTGTGAATCCTTACAATTCCAAGGGGATAATCTGCTGTCGCCATCAGGACAACAGTTGTAGGCAAAATTGCAACATTCAGGATCAGTGTAAACCAGCAATGCCATGGTATCAAATTCAAATCGAATTGCTCAACCTCCCAAGAACCCAAGCCTATTTCTGTGATCGAGTTGTATACAAACCAACAAATAATCTCCAATTACATCAACGAATGGAGCAACGTTCACACTGACAAGCAGCACCGGCGCTATGCAAACCCGGCCGCCGCCCTGCAAATCACCGGCGTTGTGCAAACCGACGAATGCCATGGTGAAGCTACGGTGGAAGTAGGCGTACGTCGGCATAGCGTGGGGCGGCCAGCCTGTCCTTATCAGTTAGTTCAGGCTATACAAAAATGACAATGCACATGTCGCCACCAATCTTGTTTTGCTTGGCTTTGTCAACTGCAGTTCTTCGGTATATATAAGCTCTGCTAGCAGAAGCAAAACATGCATTGTGAACCCCTGTGCAAAGTTCTTGCAGTCTTGAGCAAGGTGACAGCAATATAGGAAATGGAAGCCACCCTGTGCCCAAAGCCTCATTTCGTGGTCATCCCATGTCCAGCCACCAGCCACATGATTCCCATCGTAGACATCGGCTGCCTCCTCACCGCGCCGGGCAAGGCTCAGCGGGCATCACGGTCACCGTGATCCCGTTCCCGGGCGCGGAAGCCGGCCTGCCGGATGGCTGCGATAGGACCGACCACATCCCTTCGGCTGACCTCGTGCCCAACTTCTTCGTCGCCACCACGAAGTTCGGCGAGGCCGTGGCGCAGCACTGCCGCCTCCTCACGGCGACGCACCGGCCGAGCTGCGTCGTCGCCGGGATGGGCCACACGTGGGCGCACGGCGTGGCCCGTGAACTCGGTGCGCCTTGCTTCATCTTCCATGGCTTCTCTGCGTTCGCTCTGCTGTGCTGCGAGTATCTGAACACGCACAAACCGCACGAGGCAGTCGAGTCGCTGGACGAGCTCTTTGACGTCCCGCTCCTGCCGCCTTTCGAATTCAAGTTCTCCAGGAGGCAGCTGCCGATACACTTCCAGCCTTCTTCCTCCATTCCGCAGCACCGCCATCGGGAGCTCCGGGAATTCGAGCTGGCCGTGGACGGCATCGTCGTGAACAGCTTCGAGGAGCTGGAACGCGACTCGGCCGCGCGCCTCGCGGCGGCCACGGGCAAGACCGTGCTCGCCGTCGGTCCCGTCTCGCTGTGCGGCGCACCTCCTAGCCTCCTCGACTTGCGGGCCAGCTCGGACAACGCCAGACGGTGCATGGCGTGGTTGGACGCCAAGAAAGCCGTGTCCGTGCTTTACGTCAGCTTCGGCAGCGCCGGGCGCATGCTTCCAGCGCAGCTGATGCAGCTCGGACTGGCGCTCGTGTCGTGCCCCTGGCCTGTCCTTTGGGTCATCAAGGGTGCAGACACGTTGCCCGACGACGTCAACGAGTGTCTAACACAATACTCCATACTCGATCTAACACAATACTCCATACTCGATCTAACACAATACTCGTATAGACATCTTATAATATTTTCCTTAGCCGTGATATATTTTATCTACCACTTATATAAAAGAGCTTTGGTGTATTTATCATAGTGATAGAGGTGTGTAATTTATATGGAAACTTAAAATTGTCTTAGCTCCTATTTGAATGGACTAGGACTAGTAGCCAGTATTCCGGCTAATAGTTATTAACTGGTTAAAAATAATCATGTGTTTTTTGAATCCTAGGGCTAATTAGTGGGAAAGTACTGTTTACAGGCAAATACATTTATGCCCCTTGCCTCTAGATGCACGCAAATACTAGGGATTTTTTTTACATTTGGAGATTAGTTGGCCCTATTAATTCCAATTAGCTGGATTTCGCTAACTAATGGACTAACGACTAGTTTGGGGCTTAGCTAAAAATTAATCCACCTATTAGTCCATCCGTTTAGATACTTGTGAACTTAAAATTAGTCTATAGTTGTTAGTTATAAGGATCAAACAAGCCATTAGATTATGTTTCATAATGACCTAGCTGGTAATCTCGACAAAGATTTAGGGGTTTATTTTTATAATTGTAGAAGTTGTTATTTAAAAAACATGAAATCTGATGGTATTATTACAATGATTAGTGATTAACAAATTGATGGTTAGATGATTTATTTTGATAAATTTTAAGATTTATCTCTTTTATTTTGTGAGGATTAGCATGGAACCACAAACAAAATCTCTAAAGGGTGATTTGAAGGAATACACTAAGAGGATTACAAGGATGTTCCAAAAAAAACCCTCAACTTTGTGCATAACTAACTAAGAACTTTAATGCTTCTATAAAACCGCTAAATGAAATAGCTTTCGTTATAGCCAACTATAGATTTTTATAGTTTTTGGAGGACGCGACCGCTAAATGTCTTATACCGCTATTTAAAACATTTCTTTGTAGTGATAGTAAGATGCCAATAAGAGAAGGGTGATGTGAGGGAATGAAAAAAAAAAGAATATTTGATAGTCCGTGAAATCCCGCAATCTATAGTAGGATATGATTTTTTTTTTTTTTGGTGCAATGTGCTAATCACCACGTGTTGTTATGGAAAAAAGTTCATTTAATATCCTTCGAGAGGTAGGGTAGCTCCTTGCGAGCAATTTTCGGCAGCAGTGTAAGATATCGCTTTGTATGGCCAGCGCCCAGCGATATCGCTGTCCTACATATGGTTGGAACTTTGTTCCACTAAAACGGTTGCATATCTTCATTGGCGTCATCGTTTACGAACCTATAAGACAAGACAATATTCACTGAAAGAGATGGGGGAGCCGCTCCACGATGGTTTACGTATCTTGCCGATTTGCTGCCTTGATGCAGACAGGCGTGCGCAAATACAAATCTTCGGTTCATATCCACTTCATGACTTCATCATCATACATAAATATCAAAGAATCAATAATGAATCAAATTGCACTTGGAACAGCCGACGTGATAATCTCGCAGTTTTGTGGATGCTTTGAATTGTTTGCAAAAACTAGTACTACTTTCGGTCAAATAAACATGTTACTTTTGGTCAAACAAAAATGTTACTTTCGATCAAATAAACATGTTGTTTCATATAAAATTTAGTCAAACATTAAAAACTACGAATATTCATGTTTTAAATTATTTTGTTTGAAAACAAGTGAGGTACATTCACTACTGGACGCAGGGTCTTTGCCGAGGGCCTGAAGCCCTCGGCAAAGGCTCTTCAGCCGTCGGCGAAGGATTTGCCGAGGGCAGCCCTCGGTGAAGAACCCTCGGGAAAAAAAACGTCGGCGAAGGACTCTTTGCCGAGGGCCTTTTATCGGGCACTCGGCATAGTATTTGCCGAGGGCTAACGGCGGCCCTCGGCAAAGTAAAGTAGTCGTTAGGTTCGCGGTTATTTTCCACGGTGTCTTTGCCGAGGGCTGACATACTGAGCCCCCTGGCAAAGACCTGTTTTTAATTTTTCTGGATTTTCTTTCTTTGCGAGGGCTATGGTGAAGGCCCTCGGCAAAGACCTGTTTTTAATTTTTCTGGGATTTTCTTTGCCGAGGGCTATGGTGAAGACCCTCGGCAAAGACCTGTTTTTAATTTTTCACAGGATTTTCTTTGCCGAGGGCTATGGTCAAGGCCCTCGGCAAAGACCAAAGAAAAATTTTCAACATTCCACCTGTTTCTTGCTTTCCATGCGGATAAAATATATATATATATATATATATATATATCAACAAAGAGAAATATCCCACAAATATCACAATCATCACATATATCTCACAAATATCACATATATCTCACAGATATCACATAGATCATCACATGTATCATCACAAGTCCAAATTCAACAATTCCATAAGTCCACAATCTAACTCAAGTGTCAAGTCCACAAGTTCAAATCCGATTGAGGTGGCCAACCTCTCCAACCGTCGTCGCCTCTGCGTCACCAACCTTCCCAACAGTCGGCCTCTGCGTCGAGGGTGGTGTAACGAAGCCTCCAGAATCAGGTGACGCACGAGGGGGGTTATTAGAACCCGCCGACTGAGGCTGCATAAACAATTATATGCTTATGTGAGATTGCAGTAATTATTCTAGGACTACAATTTTAGTATTTAGACGAAAACCTATCAAATTTTTTATAGCTAGTGTTGTCTGGGTTTCTATGTCATACAAGCAAATCAAGAGCTAGTGTTCTCTGGGTTTCTATGTCACACAAGGCGAGAAGTGAACTTTAACGCTTACGGGAGTAGCCGCAAACGCGTCGCGGCACCGAGGCGGAGGAGTGACATCATCTGCACAGAGCACACCGTCTTACTCGCCAAGAGCTTGCATGATTTGCATCATTTCGCAATCTCGACCTCCTGGGCCTCCCGAGCGGTCCTTTCGACCTCCAATCGGCGGTGAGGGCCGTGATCTGCGCCGTCTTCTCGTTGTTCTGGGCCTGCAATATTGCACTCCAATATTTCAGTAATGCAAAACTAACTCAAGTGTGAGAATATTAATTTACGACGAGTAAAACAAGAATTACCTCGAGCGCATCGACCCGCTGCAGTGTCGGAGTAGGCCGTGAGCGTATGGGCTGGCCGGAACTCGTGCTCGTGCTCGAGCTGGCTCTCGAGTGGGAACGATGGTGGGGTCGATGGCGGCGTTCGCAATCCACGTCCGGCCGTGCTTCCTGCCGCCACCGAGCCTCATGATGGCCTCGGCATCAATGGGCTCGGTGCGGACGTCGTACTCTGGCCCGTGCCGCTGCTGTACCGCCGACGTGTACTCCTGGACTTTAGTGTACACGTTAGGGTCGGAGTATGCCTCGCGAGAGGGCAGCCGGGTCCCGTGTGACGTCACCGCCACCCCGGTGCGGTGGGACATAGCCCACGCCAGTGAACATCGAGACATCCTCGTCCGGTGCGCAGACCTCCTGCGAAAAAGCGGCGGTGGTGAGCAATCGGGCATACGTTAAGCGTGAAACTAAATAGAAGAAAAATCACTTACATATGCCGATTTGAATCCGGGAGACTCTCTGCCCTTGATGGTGAGTGGCGGTGGCTCGAGCATACGCAGCGTGCCGCCGAGACTCGTGCTTCTCTATGTAGGCCGCGTGAACCACCTAGCCACGATCATTGTCCAGGCGTCGGCATGCGCTCGGCACCACCAGGGAATCACCTACATGTCAACGAGTGTTTGACATATATGAAGATGAAATTGAACATATTTAATTCAAAAACAAAACAATATCAATGTTTGACTCAGGTTTAACTCGGCCTTCAGCCCCATCACACGCCCAATGGCATCCAGCTGAGAAATATTTGTATGCTCGTGAAGGGGTTTAGACGCCGAGTCCAACATTTTGTAGAAGGCTTCTACGTTTGCCTCCATCTCCTCCTTGTCACGTCCTTCAGCGAACTGAGCTTGGTGAGCGTCATCTATCATGTCTGCTACCCCAGCATCATCATCAAAAGGCTCGAGACGTGGTCTCACCACCTCCTCTCTGATACGATCGGCTTCACCATGGTAGATCCACCGGTGGTAGCCCGGCGTATAACCATGGTACACAAGATGTTTACCCATGGTCTGCTTGTCCACCCTTCTCCTGTTGTCACAGTGGCTGCACGGACACCAAACTAGAGAATGCCCTTTAGCTACACCCTCGCCAAATGCATGTTTCAAGAAGTCATCTGTCCTCTTCACCCAATCCACGTCGTAATCGTTTCGACTTCTTCGCCCCGTGTACATCCACTGACGGTCATCCATCCTTTGACAAATACATCACCGAGTAACGTAACCATCAACTGCACCTAGCCGGTGTTCCTACTGTCTAATAGGTGAGGATAGATCCTAATCCCACCACAGTGTCGTGTAGATGAGGTCGATTTCCATGCTCGCTCCTATCAGAGACAAATTTTGGCGGCACCTCTCCGATGTTCTCCCAATACACGTCCCGCAAAGAAGTTTGTGTATTCGGAGAACAATGGGGAAATGTTCACAAATTCGCTCGATCGGAGCGAGCATGGAACATCGACCATCTACTCATACGCTGGCTGTCCAAAAAACGTGGACAATCCGAACAGATCTGGTCGATACACACGATGAT